CATTCAAAGCGTTTTTCACCAGTGTGAACTGTCTGATGTTCATTAAGGCGTGTCTTCAAGCGAAAGGCTTTCCCACATTCACTACACTCATAAGGTTTTTCTCCACTATGAATTCTCTGATGTTGAATAAGGGTTCTACTCTGGCAGAAGACCATCCCACATTGATCACACTCATAACGCTTCTCGCCACTGTGAAGCTTTTGATGTTGAGTAAGTTGTCTTTTCAGGCGGAAGGCACTCCCACAATCAGTACAGCCATATTGTTTTTCTCCAGTGTGAATTTTCTGATGTTGAGTAAGTCCTTTGCTTAAACGGTAGGCCTTCCCACATACATCACATTTATAAGGTTTCTCTCCAGTATGAATTCTCTGATGTTGGATAAGTCCTGTTCTCCAGCGGAAAGCCTTGCCACATTCATTACAGCTATAAGTTTTCTCTCCAGTATGAATTATCTTATGTTCAACAACCCCTGATCTTCGTCTGAAGGCCTTCCCACATTCATCACATTCATATGGTTTCTCTCCAGCATGAATTCTTTTATGCAATGAAAGTCCTGCGTTATGAGTAAAGGCCTTCCCGCAGTCATTACATGTAAAAGGTTTCTCTCCAGTATGAATTCTCTGATGCCGTATGAGATATGCGCTCAGTCGGAAGGCCTTCCCACACTCATGACATTCATAAGGTTTTTCTCCAGTGTGGATTGTCTGATGTTGACTAAGGCATGTGGTATTTCGGAAGGCCTTCCCACATTCGTTACATTCATAAGGCTTTTCCCCACTGTGAATTGTCTGATGTTGCATAAGTAAGGCTCTCTGATGAAAAGCCTTTCCACATATAGTACATCCATAAGGTTTCTTTTCAGTATGAATTGTCTGATGTTGAATAAGCTGTGAACTGAGGCGGAAGGCCTTCCCACACTCACTGCATCTATAAGGTTTCTTTCCAATATGAATTTTATGATGTTGAATAAGCAATGTTCTCAGGCGGAAGGCTTTCCCACATTCAGCACATTCATAAGGTTTCTCTCCAGTATGAATTGTTTGGTGTTGAGTAAGCTGCGCACTCTGGCGGAAAGTCTTCCCACAGTCATTACATTCATATGGTTTCTCTCCAGTGTGAATTCTATAATGTTGAATAAGCTGTGTTCTCAGACGGAAGGCCTTCACACATTGATTACATTCATAATGTTTCTCTCCGGTATGAACTGTCCGGTGTTGCTTAAGGCCTGTGCTCTGGCGGAAAGCCTTCCCACACACATTACATTCATATGGCTTCTCTCCAGTATGAATTCTATGATGTTGAGTAAGACTGGCTTTCTGGCTGAAGGCCTTCCCACATTCATTACACTGATAGCGTTTCTCTCCATTATGTAGCCTACCATTTTCAATAAAGTGTGAGTTATACTTAAAGAATTTCATATATTCATTATACTTGGAAAATATCTTCTTTGACTGTATTCTCTTATATTTTCTTAAGTCTGTAGACAGTCTGAAGTGCTTCCTGTTTTTATCACATTTATGGAGAATCATTCCAACAGATAATGTCTGTTGTGCAAAAGGGATGTGCCCTAGACTGAAGCTACTGTTGTAGTTGTTATATTTGCGGCCTTTCAATTTATTTGCAGGTTTCTTTTGGGCTATTTTTCTTTCCTCACTGTTGTGATGCCTCCTTAAGGTGGCATCACATTGCCAGAATGATTCTTCTACTGACATGTCCAGCTTTAGAGCTGACTCCTTGGCTTCATGAGCAGCCTCCCAATCTGAATGAAATAAAAAACAAAACAAAACCATGAATGTCCTCTTTGTTATTCCCGTTCTCCAAATACATCTTCCTGCCTTTTGGATCCTCCATAAAGAAAAATGATTTAATACACATCTGTTTCTATCAAACTGCTTTATACTTTTCTCAGAAGTTCTTGTTTAAATAAGTAGTCCCTCCGTTAGGAGTTTATGTTTTGGTGTTTATCAAATATTAGGGTTCTGGATATTACTTATTAGTTCTTTCCATTTACTGACTTTTCTGTCTGTTAATCGGTACTAGGTATTTTTGATAATTATTACTTTACAATTTAACTGAGATCTTATAATGCTACATCCCTTTCACTAAAATGTTCATTCACTATTTCCCTTCATAGTCTTCACTTTGTTACTCTATGAATTTGGTTACTGTTATGTCAATCCATAAAATATTCCCCTTTATGACTAAATTGGTACAATATCAAATATGTAGATTAATTTAGGAAGTACTGTCATTTTTATTGCATTGGCCTATCTCATCCATAAATATTTTATTTAATATCAAATATTTAATTTTATTAATTTAATTTATATTATATTGATATTATAATTAATATAAAATAATAAATTTAATTAAAATAAACATTTAAATTTATTTAATATTTAAAAAATATTTTACGTGTCTCTAATTTACTTCCTTCATTTCAATCAAAATTATTTTGCATTCCTAATTATGTGAGTCCTATAGATGTTCACTTCCAGATATTTTAAAGATTTCTGTAGTTATTTATTATCCTCCAGATATACCATTTGTACATTACATCAAAGCCTCCTGCTTTGTTGCAGAGTGTCCCTGAAGAAATTTATAAATTCTCAAAAGAGTCTGGCCTATTCATCTACTGATAAAAGATCATGAGGGTAAATGATGTCAATGTATATTTTGAAACTGTCCTATAGAGTTGGCTGAGCAGTATCTATGTTGGGGATAGACAGTAAAGAGACAATGAGCTTGGCATTGAGTTGAAAAGGCGAGCAAGCTAGATTGCTTTGAGAACGCAAAGCATTTACAGACCCCAAGCTTCTCATGAAAGCAAAGTCACATTTTTTCAATACTACTCATTTCCTAGCATTGTTAAGTGGAAATGAGATGTGGCTGTACCATTGCCTCTGAAGAAGCAAAGCCCACACTGAGGGCAATGGAAGGGCCCTGGGTGGGTATGATCAGGCTACATAACACAGAAGCAACAAGGGAGTCTGGTGAGTGAAGGTCTTGGTCCAGGAATTATGTGATAGGACAGATGTACAGCTTACATGGCAAGCAGACAAAAGGACAGCAAGACGGCTCTAATGGACGCCTTGTGATACCAGGAAAAAGCAAGGAAGGCCCCCGACATGTTGGGAAGGCACTCTGTGGTGAACGTGGACAAGCCTGGCACAGAAGAAACTCGTGAAAGGAGTCTGAGAGAAATCCAGGTTAGCTCAAGATCTCCCACATCTACCATAAGAAGCTCCAAATGGAGACATGACCTAGATATGAAAGGCCACATTATAAACAAATTAAAGCAGTAAGGAAGAAGATGCAGAGAACACAAAAGATAAAATGGACAATTGTGATTACATAAATTGAAATGATTTTGCAAAAAAACAAAATCAGTGTTATTAACTACGAAGGGAAACAATTAACTGGAGGAAAAAAAATCTGTGCAGCTAGTTTCTCCAATAAACCTCTTACATCTGACACATACAAGAAAATGAGTCAGGTTATAAGAACAAGAGCTACATTTCATTAGATAAATGGCTGAAGGATGTTTTCTCAAAGGAAAAACAATCCAGGCTATTAACAGACACACACACAAATGCTCAGCATCCCAAATAACCAGAGAAATTGTGAATTAAAGCAACTCTGAGGGTCTACCTCTTACTGAGAATGGCAGAAGGGGAAATGACAACTGATAAAAGGGCTTCAGGAATACTGGCTCACCAACATTATGAGAGTGGAGCTATGGAGTGGTGCCGTCATGATGGAAAGCAATGGAACCATGCCCAGGGTGTCACAAAATTTGGCCCAAGAGATACCACTACTAAACATACACCTCAAAAAAAAAATCAAAGGGAAAGGACTTATTTATAGAAAAATATTGACAGAACTACCTTTTGTTATAGGAAAGATCTAGAAATAAGGTTGGTGCCCATCAATTGAGGAATAGCTGGACAAATCAGAGTGTATTATTACACTGTTACATGCAGTATGTTGTTACACCATAAGAAAAGATGGGAAAGGGTGCATTCAGAGGCACGTAGGAAAACTTAAGTGATGTGAAAAGCAATGAAGAAGCAGGCTACGTAATGCCCGAGAGGAAGGTGAGGACCTAGAAGTGCAAACTGAGACCTCTGTTTCCAGACATGACCAACCAATGGGCGTGTTTTACTTCACTCTGCTTGCTTGGTATGTGTGTGTTTTTAATTGAGGAAGAATTTCAGAGGAGGGGTGGGGAAAGGAAACTAGCAAGTAAAACCAAAAAGAGAAGGGAGTAAAGAAAAAAGGGTCTCAGCAATTTTCAAAAACAAGTGAGCAGAGAGAGATTCAGAAGAAGGCAAAGATAAGCCGGACAGCTTTCAAATTAATATGCTGAATTTATTCTCTAATTTTGATGAGAAACACAAGCTATACACAACACAGATTTGATGCAATGCTTTATGTTTTTCTTTGAATTCTGAAATACTTGTGTTTGTTGCTGTTTGTCAAATTTGGAATAATTTAAAAATAAAAATTATATGTTGTTAAAAAAAAAAGAAATGGATCACAAGCCTGGCAGGGACACCATACAGTAATGATAAGAGGATTTCAGGTATCTGGGCATCTGCTGGAGTTCTCTCTAACTAAAATGGAGGCGCTAATGATATCTTAACTTGCCTTGATAATTTTACGCTTCAAAGCATGGAAGGTATGAAACAAGGGAAATATTGTTCTAGAACTGACTCTTCCAACAAGGCAGAGCCAAGTGCTGGGGTAGAAAAAGAGGGATCATCAGGAAGAAAACACTCCTTTTAAGAGTTTACAACAGAGAAGTCAGACTAGCCCTGACCTTTACGAATGTGCGACACAGAGAGAACAGAATGTCCTGGGGCTGCCCAGGACAGCTATGGAATGACAAAAAGGCGGCTGGTTTTAGGCTAGCTCAGGGAAAAGAAGATCCATCCCAAAGGAGGCCGACGGGAAGAAGATGAAGCAGCTCTTCCTCGGTTTCCCGGCCAAGAAGAATGACCTGGGGGCTGGAAAGGACTCAACAAGAGGGACTAGGAGGAAGTGATACTTAAGACAAGCACTGGGATCTGAAGAGAGCCCCTGGCTGCCTCAAGGAGTGCCAGTCACCTGGCCAGGCGTAGTATATCCCACTGAAAGAGCTGGCAGGTGTGATTACTGAGCCACTGCCAGTGACCTCGGGAATAGCAGGCTGAATGGGAGAGACATTGCTGGGCTGGAAAAGGATAAATGTCCCCACGAAAACACAAAGAAGGCAGTGAATGGATGCTGTGAAGTGGAAGGCAGGGACCTGGCCTCTGAATGCCGCCCCCAGAAGCCAACACTCCAGGCTGGGCGCAAGGAGACCCTCGCCTTCCCCCTTCTCCACTCTTAGCGCTTCCCTTAAGGCCACCATAGCCTGCTGCTGACTCATCTCAGCTTGCAGTCCACTAACAGCCCCAGATCATTTTCCAGTTATCTTCTGCTACCAGAGAAGTTGTTTGTGTGCAGGTTCATCTCTGGGCATCTCAGTAAAGGAGCGTCCAGAGGTGGGAAACCAGAAGGTCGAGGGGCCTTAAGTTCCTGCCATCAAACAACCCAATGAAGCAACTGGGGTGTCTAGTGGGAACGACACCACATTGTCC